TTCCTTCTTTCCTTCTTTCTTCCTTCCTTCTTTCTTCCTTCCTTCCTTCTTTCCTTCTTTCCTTCTTTCCTTCTTTCTTTCTTTCTTCCTTTTCCTTTCTGTTTTTGTTTTAAACATGCACTCTAGATCAGCACTTTTTCTCCACTTATCCTAGTCCCCAAAGCAAAACTGGAAGATGCAGGAACTGTGCTGTGTTGAAGCAAACATTATGCTCTACGTCTTTTCCCCTCGTCTGGGTGGCTGCATTTTTGCTAATAATGTGCCGGTGTTTATTTTATGCATTAGCAAAATAGAGGACTGATTAGTTATCTGCATTTATTTGGTAAAGATAGGGTTTGTGCAGTTTTAGACCCCAGTTCTACTTTGCCTCAAGGAGACATAAATAGTAAATAATCGAGAACTTCAAAAGACGAGGATAAACGGTAATCCCATGTCTGCATTTTGTTTGCTTGACTTTTTTTTCTTTTTTAACGCTATTCTGTAATACTTTAGGCTTCTGAGTGTCCCTTGGGTCTTCCGATCGGATCCCACTCAGCACACTCCTACTGACATTGGCATTTACAAGCATTTAGCAAAATGGCTTCCGTTACACATTTCATGAGTGATTTTTTCCTGCGCTAAATGTTTAATTTGCCCAAATTTGTAGTAAGATAAGACCTCGCATAGCAGAGTCACTAGCAGCCGAGATCCCCTTGTTTCCTCCCTGTCTGAAGGACTGAGTAGCCAGCTCACTATGGGGAGATGTGTTTAGGCAGCTTGGGTGGTGTGCCTAGGTTTCTCCTGCTTGGGAAGATGCTCAGGAGGGAAAAGGGATCAGGGAGGAGACAGTTAATCTGATGGTCCCACTGTCCATGCCTCTTTCTCTCAAGGGGGCGTGACCACACCCTGTGGCGACAGGATGAGGCTTTTAGGTGTCCTCCCCCCCCCCAGCTGCCCCAGCTGCCCCAGCCGCCTGGAAGAAGGATAACCAAGGAGGAGAACGTGGAGGAGGAGAAAAAGAGGACCCTGGCTATGGGGTACGAGGTTTTCAGGGACACAGCGGCTATTTGTCATTGAGTTCTTGCATTGCTTTTCGCTGTTCTTTTTATTCAAGTTGTCCTTTTTCCCCAAAATCAAGTTTTAAAGAAACCCCCTGTTCTCTGCCAAGAAAATGCCAGCTGACCTACCCATGTGGCTGTATTTAGGTTATAACCTCCCCGGGGAGTTGAGAAGGGACTTCACACCCAGTTATAAGATCTGCAAAAGACAGAGCTGACAAAGCCAGCACACGGAGATCTCTTTATCTAATATGGTTCTAGAAAATTAGATCAGTGCTCTTTTCCTGCCCCTACTGCAAAATTGCAGCTTTGCTCCGTTTCTTAGGTGACACCCTCCTTCCCCCACAGATAAAAGGAAGTGGAACCATTTTTGCCACGTGTCCATTAGCGGGCATGGCTTGCTGTGTGTTTGCTGAGGTTCAACCACGGACCTATTTTAGTTTCTTTCCTCCTGGGAGGGAAACTTAGCATCTCTGCTCAGGCTTGGGCGGGGTAGGATTCAAGAGCAGATTCCAGGATTCTTCTCTCAGACTTGGAAAAACAAATCCATGTCCCTCCCATCATTTAAAGGCAGCATTTAGTCCGGCTGCTGTCCGTGGGGCTGTGAACGAGAGTCCCGGGCTCGGGGGCCATGGCTCTCCTGGCGACTGCTCCCTGAGGAGAGGGAGCTGCCCTCAAGGCTCTGAGTCCCACACTGCAGCATCTCACTAATTATATGGCAAGGCACGCTTGCCGTTCTTCCTTCCCCACCTACCTGATGTTATTTTCACTTTCAGCCACTTTTTCAGGCACTCCTGATGAACAAATTGCAGGCTTCCCACACAGCCGCAAGGCTCCAGGAGGGGATTGGTTGGGGAACCCCCAGCTATCTGACAGATGCGACACAGGTTTCCCTCCTCCTCCTCTGAGTCCTCCTCCAGGAGACTAAATGGAAAACAAGTCCTGGTGACCAGGGGTCAGCACAGTTTCTACAAACTACAACTACTAACACCACTTCCCAGGACGTTAAAGGGGGAGGGCTGCCTGGGCTTCCCCATGGCTCCTTCCGACCCTACTGAAAATTCTTGCAGGTAACTGATAGTTAAGTGCACGGAGCCTTGTATCAGGCTCCTTGGCAGTTCCTGACACATGTGAGCTGACCGCAAGAACCAGCCCCGCCACCAGAAATCTAGAGGAAACCATGGAAAAGGCTGGGAGCCCCTCTCTTGTGGAAGGTGGTGGTATGCCATGTTGGTGAGTGTGGGGGATCTGTGGGCAGGGGTCCTGGGTTTGAGGCTTGCCTCTGAAACTTGTAAGTTTGATGATGCTGGACAAGTTATTTCAGCTTCTCAGGCCTCCGTTTCCTCATGCATAAAGCCATGTGATAATACTGCCAGTACCTAGCTGACAGGGTTGTGGGCAGACTGGATGCCATGATGGCGGGGCAATTGTTCTGCAGACTATAAAGTACATCTAGTGTCTGGTGAAGCATTTGCACACACAGATCACTCAAGAGGTGTTGGTCGGGATGATGATGAACCAATGAATCTGGACGTGAACTCACCAATAGCACAACACTTGGCCAACAAATTATGCCAGCATTCCAGAATGTAAGCTGCTGGAATCTGATGCAAATGGAATTATGAAAATGGAAGCAAATATGTTTGTGTCTAATAAGTGATGAGTGAAGACTAGCCAGCTGATGTTCATGTAGGGAGGCTCTAAAAAGCCTAGGACCTATTCTTTAGGATCCTCATGGACGGGGGACTGTCTGGGCAAGGAAAGGAAACTGCCTAGAGACTAAAATCAAAGAAAAGGAAGAAAGGGCATTGCTCTGGTGAGAGATGTATGTGCTCAGTTTCTTCAGAGACCTTCCTCCCCAGGAAAGGGAAGTCAATGAAAAAGAACAGAATTATAGTGTTCCATGATGGGCACAAACAAAAGAAGAGATATACCATATTTTTCAAAGACTCAATATCTCCAAGATGTCAGTTCTCCCCAGAATAATCTATAGATGCAGTGCAGTTTCAGTGAAAATCCCAACAAGCTGATTCTGAAACGTATATAGTAAAGGACTCTTAAGGAACAAAATGTGGAGGGAGGCTTTGCGCCATCGGCTACTGAAACTTACAAAAGCTACAGACATTAAGATGCTGTAGTATTGGATTAGGAAAAAAACCAGAAAGGAACAACAGGCCAGAAGAGACAGCTCTGAAACAGACTCGGACATTTATAGTTATATGACAGACATGGCTTTTCAGTTTAGCAGGGAAAGATCTTGCGATAGTTGGCAGTTCATCAAGCATACCTCATACCCCGTATTAAACCCCACTTCACATTTAAGTCCAAAACCCATTTCACATTAAGTCCTAAGTGTGCAGAATAAAACTATAGAGATTTTAGAAGAAAATAGGAAGCATCTCATAATGACCCTAGGTTACAAAAGGATTTCTTCATCAAGATAAGAAGATACAAATCACAATCCATAAAGAAGATACATTTGACTTCATTAATATTAAGATTTTATTTTTTTAAAATTATTTATTTATTTATTTGACAGAGAGAGAGACATAGCGAGAGCAGGAACACAAGCAGGGGGAGTGGGAGAGGGAGAAGCAGGCTTCCTGCCGAGCAGGGAGCCCGATGGGGGGCTCGATCCCAGGACCCTGGGATCATGACCCGAGCCGAAGGCAGACGCTCAACGACTGAGCCACCAGGCGCCCCTAAAATTAGGAATTTATTTTCATTAAAAGACATCAAGAAAGAGGAAGGACAAACTACAAATTGGGAAAAGATATTCCCAACACATAACTGTTAAAGGATTAAATCAGTGGCCAGAATATATAAGGGACTCCTGAAATAAAAGAGAAATATTCTAAAGGAAAAATAGGCACAAGATATAAACAAGTGTTTTACAGAAGAGGAAACACAAATAATCATTTGGCATTTAAAAGAGCACATAAAATGCCTAGCCTCGTTAACAGTCAATAAAATTAAATGTAAATTAAAGCCACAATATCCTTTTATTCCCATTAGAGAAGAAAAATTTTGAAAAGCCAATCAATGTAAGTGCTGGCAAGGATGCACAACCATATACATTCCTAGTAAGACAGTAAACAGTCATTATTTAGCATGGTGGAAGGTGTGCTAACCTCTAGCTCAGCAATTCCACCCCTAGATAAATATCCCAGAGAACTCTTCCCATGTGCACCAGGACACATTTGCAAGAACATTTATGCTGCATTGTCTGCAGAAAACAGTAGAGAACCCCAATGCCCATCAACAGGAAAATGGCCAAATTGTAGTATATTCATATAAAGGACTACCTTGTAGTCGTGAAAGTGAACAAAGTAAAGCCAAAAATATCAACAAGGTTAGCCTCTTGCTAACGATGCTAGGGGGAAAAGCAAATCACAGAGCAATAGATATTCCATTTCTACGGAGTTTAGAAATAATGGTAACATTTCTATAGAATTAAAAAATGTGCACAATATATTGTTCAGGTGTATATATATACATATATATTCCTATGGGAAAACCAGAAAGCAAAAAACTTCCAACAACAACAAAATTAAAAGCAAAGGAGGGGTGCCTGGAGGGCACAGTTGGAGGAGCATGCAACTCTTGATCTTGGGGTTGTGAGTTCGAGCCCCATGTTGGGTGTAGAGATTACTTAAAATAAATAAATTAAAAAAATTTTTAAAATTGAAAGCAAAACAATGATAATTGCAATGCAAGAATGGTTTCCTGGGCACAGAAGGGGCTGGGAGGGTGTAGATGGAGGAGGATGAGTTAGGGTGGGTGAGGGGTTCAAGAGCTCCAGTAAAGTTCTATTAGCTGGAAAGTAGGCACAGGGATATTTGGGTTTTGTTTTATTTCAAATTCCCTAATTATTTGTATGCATTAAAGTAACTAACCAAGGGGAAATTTTTAAAGAGTATAAGTGGCATTGAGAAATGGCCTTGAAATATTAAAATGAGGCATATTATGAAATATGAGCCAATGTATACTAAAAATTGCATTTATATGCAAAGATAAAAGACTGGGAAGCGAAGTTTTTTTTGTAGTGCTTATCTCCGGATTATAGGATTACAGGTGATTTTTCTTTGAAGTTTATATTTTTCCTATTTCCTAAAATGAACATTTTTAAGATAATAAGAAAAGCATAAGGTTTACTATATACAGAAAAAAGAAGGCATCTGATAAAAACAAAACTCATAGCTGTTTAATGCATTGCCACGCCAACGTGGATGCACTTTTAAAAGAAATCATTTTTAGCCCAAAGGCATCGCTTCGGGATTGTGGAAAGTCCAGACTCCCGACAAGTGGGTCTGAAGGTGTATTTCTTGGTAGGTGTAGATGGGTGTGTGTGAGGCCTTTTGGCCCTTAGCCATGGGTCAGTGTGCTGGTAGCTTGCATAATATGGAAAAGAAAAGGTCCCGCCAACAGGAAAGTTACTCATTCCTGCAGTTGGATAAAGAGCTAGAGGAGTAGTCGGGGTGCATCCTGTGTCCTGTCTTATCCTCCTGCACTCTCATTCACTGCCATGGACTTTTCCCACTCGCAAATGAATATCAATTGGATAATTAATGGCCCAAATGAGCCATACCAACATACACAAAGGAGGCTTGCATTCAAAGAATCCATTTCCAGATCAGTAAGCCAACATTAGGGTGTGGTAACACCTGTCATAAAGGAAATGGTCAAATCCTGACATGGTTTCTAATGATGGCTTTAAAAGGTATCAAATTTCATACTTGTGAAATATCCCCAAATCATCTTACAAGACAATAAAGATCAAAGAAAAGGGCAATCCACAAAAAAGATCTTATTTCTTTCCCATGCATGAGAAAGACACAGGAAATGGAAGCAGTGGTTACCCCAGCACCGCCCTGCAGAGAACCCAGGTAACCATGGTAACTAGTTGGGACTGGCCTTTTGGTTGGAAAGATTCAAATTCTAGAGCTGTTGGTTGGATTTGCACAAAGTCCCATGAGAAAGAGCTGGTGAACTTCAGGTGAGGAGTGGTTCACTCTTTGGGGAGACAGCAACCTTTTCGTAAAAATCCTGGTTCCTAGCCCTACATAGCAGTCCAAACCCCCTCATGTCTAGCAAACTTGCCTTCCTTAAAGTTATGGTATTCAAGAAAAAAAACACGTTGAGAAGACTGAAGAGATTGAACTGGAACACCAAACTTTTTCTCATAGATATATATATCTTAAAAGCAACAAAATAGACAATTTCCTCAATATAAGCAATCATTAAAATAGGCCAAAGAAAGGCCTATCTATGATTTAAAATTCCCATGACGCTCTAATGAAGATACTGCTTATTTCTACCTAGGAAACATGGAATAAAAAAAGTATACACATCTAATTATGAAAATTCCTCACCTTTCTTGTAATTTCTTGAGTTTCTCGGGGTCTGCCTTTATCTTAGTGGTTTCCTTTTCATCCACCAAAGCAGAGACTGCCGGTCTGTTTCCATTATCATTTTGATTTGGGAAATCAGAGACTGCAAAGAAAGTAAAAGGTATGTTTTCTTGCAGGGACGCAGGCACGTGCAAATGGCCTTGTAAGTTCATTCTTGATGGAGAGGAGCTGGAAGACTCCACCAAGGACAAGTTGCTTTGAGGATGGAGTAAGAGGCCTTCTGTGTATAATGGAGCCCCCTGTGATGGGCTTGTTAAAGTAACATCTTCTGCTCCCCTGACATCAAATTCATGTGCACTGTCTACTGGAAAATAACTATGGTTTTCAGCACAGACATATGGATTCCTATTTCTAATGGGGGACAGTGGTCGACGAACATTAAACCTTGAGTTTCCTTCTGAGTCTGCACCGTGAACAAAGGTAGACGACATTGACAAATCTACTGGAATATCCTCTCTCATAGCAGAATGCATTAATGATCCAGGAGTGTTATAAGATGAATTCACTGGTGATCTTGGAGCCATTGGTCTACCAGGAAGAAAACGGTCAAGAGAACTACTAGAACTGTTTAAATAGGCGTGCCAATCTCTTTCATAATCGTGGGTACCAGGCCTATCTTCCATCAAAGTACAATCTCTAAATACATTTTCAGCATTAAGGTCACCGTCTAGACTAGTGTCAGATTTTGTGTCCCATGGAGGAAAGGTGCCATTCTCATGTTCACTGTCACCACTGTCATTGTCTTTAGGAGACCCCCCATCAGGTGGCTCGGGGTCTTGAAACACCCTTGGCCCAACAGGAGGTGGCTCTGTCACTGGCACC